ATGTTAGACTACATCTAGAGGCGTTCAACGCGGTGGCCTTCCCCACTACTAAAAACAGGCACAAGTGCTGTCGAGAAGATACGGAGAACAGTGACAGGGTCGGTTGCCGGACTAAAAGGCGAAACATATGCACGCCTCAGACAACTTGACTTGTTCAAACTGAGCTGTCGAAGGAAACACGGTAACCTGATAACAGCCTACAAAATCATTGGCAGAGAGGGTTGCCCGCATACGTCAAACTTATTGGTCCAAACCTGACGGTCCCATGGTAACCCCGCTTACGCAAAACAAAATAGGGCAAAGACGAGACACAGGTCTAAATTCTCCTCCCCGCATTTCGCACGGGGGGCCTCAAAGAGATGCTGTCAACCATGCAAAATCCGCCAAAATCTTCAACTAAGATAGGGTTAACATCAAAGGATAACCTGGAGGGGCCTAGAAGCAGAGCTGGATCTCTAGCTGTGCACACGCCAAAACCGATGGAGACCACATTAAGCGGAATCTCCGCTCCTCCTACCTGACCTCAGGGAAAGTCAAGGGCATGGCAGAAGACACTGACCGCCAGACCCTCTACAAAGTCCAGCTCAAACATCCAGACGATGTGTTTGGGAAACAGCCAGTTGAAATACACAAAAACCCACTGAGAAGTCGGGCGTGCCGCCCACAACGAACGCCAAGCACAGAGGGGCAAACTCGATCGTTTTGTTCAACTTCAGTACACCGACGGGCACACTGTTGGTCGAGAAAGATAGTTTGACGGACGAATATGAGCCGACCACCGTCAAGTGCCGGGGCCCCCTTCTATCCCTGCCTTACCTTGTCGCCTTTCTCGCGGAAGCCAGGCACCCCGAGATAAGCCACTCCATTACGTCTGCTCTCGAGTACTGCTTAGGAGGCCGAAGGCACCTCCCCTCTCTGACGCCGACCGAACGCTGTTGGTACCTGCGAAACTTGGGCCAGGCCTGACAAGCCACGGTCATTAGGGAGAAGGAAAGAAAATCAGTAGTTGGGGATGGGAACAGAAAAAACGCCATGGTTGTACATGGGAACCCAGAACTGCTAAGTGATCGTTCCACTAAAGACCGGTACTTCTAAGACGTCCAACAGTGACGACGGCCTTCAACCAGCAGCGCCAGCAGACTGCCGAGACAAACGCGTCTGAGGTCCACCCCCACTTCTAGACTGCTGGCCATCCAATTCGACTCACATGCCTCCCTTGCAGACGTTGTACACGCGTGGTATGGCGTGAACGATAGCATGAGTGGCTCAAAACGCGTGTGTCAGGGCGAGTCAAGACTCAGGAGGCGAGAAGAGAGACGGCAACAACCACGACCTCCTGAGCCAGTGGTTATCGCAAAGACACTGATCGGTGAGTCAGACACGCTGTGTGGTGAAGCTCCAGCTGCCGTATTCCTCGCTCAAGCTGGAAATAAAGCACCAAAATACGGAGCGATATCAGACCCAACCACGCGGGTGCGCTTCTCACAAAAATACGCCACCAGCCCTTTCCTGTCGCCAGGCACACCCCAACACGTATGTGCAGCACCCTTGGGGGCTAGGAGGGAAAGTGGCGGAGGTGAGTACGCTTCGTGAACGTCGGTACTCTGACATCATACTTATCACCGAATCCTGGATCTCTCCGAACATTTCCGACGAAGAGATCCCTGTCATCGGCGTGGAACTCCTTCGCAGAGGCGGAGGTAGAGGACTCAGGGCGGCAGTGGGAGTGGCTCTCTACGTGAGCTCTCGTTTAAAAGCAAGAGTGGTCGGCGACACCGCCATAATCCAGCCCTCGGAATCTTTGTGGGACTACTTCACTCCCCATCGTACTAAATATCTGCTTGGGGTCATATATCGGTCCCCCACAAGCTCCCTTACACATGAAGAAATGGACGTCGAGGCAATCTTGATGACTTCCCCCGCATATTGCGATTCAGTAATCACTTCAGGCGACTTCAACACCCCGCACATCCTCTTCGAGACAGACGACAGACACATCGGACCCCTTAGTCAACAGCTGAAAGATGCAACCAAGACTTCTGGTCTCTCGGAGAAGGTGGGTGATGCCCCACTCCAGGGACTTGATGGAAATGAATCGTGCCTTGAGTGCTTTCTGACGAACGATGACCTTCTCATTGGGGACGTGAGCATCCAACCTCCCCTTGGCCTCAGTGACTGGGCAGGAATAACTTTCTCTAGATTACTAAGGAGGTCCTGCAACTGGAGACGCCAAACCCCGTCCCTTGCTATAGCGAGGTCAACTATGGGACCATGAGAAACCACCTCATTAATGCATACTGGCCGGTAGACTAAAATCCATCTCATAATAGCTGAACGCTGGATACAGGTGAAGGAAATAATCGTTGGGGCCATCAGTCACAGTGTACCAGAGGTAACACACAAACCGTCAGTGAGAATTTCGCGGCTAAACTGTGGGGCGGAGAGGCTACATCAGACCTGGAAGCAGGCCAGGTTCAAGTGGCGTTCACCACGCATACAGTCTGGCTTCTTGAACCACAAAAGGATTCGCAGCCACTGTAACATAAGAGTGCGTAAAGACAGACTTACCTGTTAAACAAGCCTGATGGGGAGGTTGCAACGTAACTCCAGAATCCCGTACCGCTTCATGTTGAAAAGGAAGTCAACCAGCAAGCGAGTGAATCTTATCACAGGTCATGATAGGAGTGCACTAAGCAGTCTACAGATTGCTCAGCTTCTGAGCCCACACTTCCGAACCCATCTCAGTACTGACGACAAATCCACACTGGCTCCTTACGACACTGACCGGGCCACAAATAACGAACACCCATGCCACATTTCCATCGCAGAGAAAAAAGTGCGGAGAAGTTATCTGGGCTACGTCCAGGCAAGTCTCCTGGCTGCGATAACCTAAAACCGGTAACCCAAAAAATCCGCGCCGAGTTGCTTGCAAAACCAGTCTGCAACCTCTTCGAGCACTCAGTAGAGTCACTCAAACTCCCTAGAAAGTGGAAGTGCGTCATCTTGTCACCTATCTTCAAAGACGGAGACAGAAAAAGCCCTGGAATTTGCAGGCCAACCGCTCTACTCTTTATACAATCGAAAGTGTTGGAAAGCCTGGTAGCTGACACCATCTGGGAATTCCACAACGGGGAAAACACCGTCCAGACTGCTCAGCATGGATTTCCTAGAGGTCGCCAGTGTGTCACCAACTTGTTAACCACCTGGACACCCAGTTGGGACAACAGAAAATTGGCTAATGTTGTTTTTCTCGACCTAGCCAAGAATATGACAGCGTCCGGTTCATGGTCCTGCTTTACAAGATCACATCGGCCGGTATAAATGAATCCCTTCTTTCTTAATTCAAGGAGTATCGTGAAGGCGGGCAGTTCTCCGCCAAGGTGAACACAATACATTCGAAGTGAAGACCATTGACATCAAAAGCATCCCTAGGAGCAATCCTAGGACCACTTCTATTCTTCCTGTTTGCCACTGATCTGCCACACACAAAACAGCCTCATCCATCCTCCTCTTCTCGGATAACATTAAAATGTGGAGGGTAGTAAACGAAGAAGCCAACTGCACAGCACTGCAAGACGACGTGCAGCAATTTGAACTCTGGTCGTCGGAAAATGGCTCCAGCTTCAACCTGGAAAAGTACAAAGTAATGCACATCAGATATAGCCGGCCTCCAGAACATATCGAGTGACCGTGCTATCACCAGAGTATCCACGGAGAAAGATTTTTAAGCTCAACCTCCCTGACACCTTGTACACCAGCTCCAACCGCGAAGACACAGCAACCAGAGCGAACTCCACTTTGCACTTTCTGCGTAGACAGCTTGGTGCCCTCACCTCTGTATTCTTCCTCACTAACTTCAAAACCCATATGCAGCCGCACCAAAAGGTCTTCAGTGCGGTGATCCCCCCAAGACCCAGAGAGACTCTAACCTCCTCGAAAGAATGCAAAGGTCTGCAACAGAATCAATCGTGGGACTAAGGAGGAAGGCATAACCAGGAAGGCCAAACGCCTAAGTCTATTCACCTCTAGATATAGCAGGTTGACCTACAATGTTGGCCTACAATGTCATCCATCAAGTAAACCACGCAAGTAAATTGGCCTTGACTGCAATGTCAAGAACTCCCTACAAATTTAATCAACACCCAACCGCCCGTCGGGCTAACCAGGGCTACAGCAGTCAAGTGGGTAGACCTACTGCATCGGAATCCGCTAAAGGCCTGGGACGGTTCCACAAGACCTTAAAGCGAGCGCGAAGAAATCAACTGGTTTGCACTAGTTCGTAAAAGGTTATTGGATACTAGACAAGAGAGATCGAAAACTATCCGTTTCCTATGCCATTTAATCAATATTAGGTTGGATCAAAAATAACATTGAAGGATTACAGGCATACCAAAAGATATTATTATGTCATTGGGTTTCAAGAAGTAAGATATTGTTTAGTGAATAATCTTGTTTAGACTTGCACGTAAACCCGTTGGCCTCAACAACTGTTACCGAGGATATTTGAAAAAGTGTGTAGTTTAGTGAAAATGTTCAGAAATAGTTTTCAAAGTGGATTTTTATCAATACTTTATAGCGTTGGTAGCAAACCTCTTCAAATATGGGACAAAAGCGTAAATCACTCTTCGCCTTATAATATGTTACTGATAGGTGATGAACGGACATATAAAGAGAATAACTGATAATGATATACAGTCATTAGTTCTTGAGTTAATGGGGACGAATGTCAGGTGCCTATATTAATCACACCTAATAATGGCTATAGTACGACGTTTGTAACATGTCCTGCTGAACCAAAGAAGAGCTTGGGTATAAAGCTACCATTCCTTGTGATGATCATCAAGAATCTGAAAAAGTATTTCACTTTTGAAGTCTTAGTACGCTGTCTCGTTATAATATTGGGTAAATGTTCACCAGATTTAGATGACAAGAAGATTCGGCGAAGGTTCAGGGCTAGCAATTACCAGAGCACCACCCGTGTAAAACCTTTCATTTGCACAATGCCAATGCGACTGGATGAAGGATGGAATCAAATTCAGTTTAATCTTTGTGACTTCACCAGGCGCGCCTATGGAACAAACTACGTCGAGACACTGAGAGTGCAGGTGGGTGTACATAGTGGAAATTTGTCTTCTGTACCTAAAACCATCGTGGTATAAATTATCTTCTCATCATAGTTCTGCAGAGCTTGTTAAGCTGCTTAAACGTAACTCAAAAATGTAAAAGATTATAAGGAAGTTCATAATGAACCTCAGAATAACATAATATCCATCATCAGCTTATTTACTTGCACATGGTAATACGATGAATGGATTGATACTATCTTTTAGGGATTTCCTGTAGTAGTTATGGTAATGTAGCGTAAATTCCCAATCTTCAGACGTGCAACATCACAGTGAACAGTCACAGCTTTAAATTCAGCCAATTACTTTGATCTTTAGTCTTTGTGAATGCGAATGGCTAAATAAGAGCTTCGTAATATACATTAATGCTAACCGTAATTTGGAACAATGAATAACATCAGCAGCACCTGTCGGTTTGCCGTCAGAAAATTTTAGAAAAAAGATAAGAAAAAATGTTCAAAGTGATAAGGGCAATAGATTTCGAATGGTAATCGGAGGTAGTCCATCAGACTGGTCTACATCACTGGTCATCCAAATGCATAAGTAAAAAGATATTTATACCGGGCGATAATTGAAGGTGAGATAAAAATCTGAACTGCGGCCGGACTTGAACAGCGACCAATGGGCTACGGTCCCGGTGCTCTACCAGCTGAGCTAAGAGGTCCAGCTGCTAACCGGATTTTTATTTCAGTTCAGTCACCAAGGATTTTACCCGACTACCATGTGAGTTGGTGACGCGTTGCTACCGCCTGATTGTATTCACACTGGCTGTCTAGTAAGGTCTTAGGACGAGTGTACTACGCTGCCGTCTATTATTCCCTGTTATACAGCTATAAGGCATTGCCGTAGAAAGTGGAAGACATCAAGAGCTGACAGATTTCCGAACTCAAGGTTTCGTCGTAGCGCTCGCATATGATAGCAGCAGCGTGCTGGCAATGATGAAGTCAGGCAAGGGATACTAGAAAAAGAAGGCTAGTCAGTCAATGAGGTTGTGAAACTTCATTGATTGGGGTGCGTTGGCGTGCGCAACATATGTCAAGGCCACCAACTACCTTGACGTAGAATTCTGTTAGATGTTAGATTAGGTTGGTAGAAGGCTAGGATGGTCAGACCAAGACGTTGGATCGGTTAATGAAGTCTCCATCTGTTGGTTTGAGGTGTGTATGAAGGTGTAAACTGCCTGGTTGGGGTTCTTGAGACGTTGGGGATCAATGCTGGGAGATGCCTGGTGACATGACTGAAAACTAGTTATAATGAGATAGATGTACTCACTCTTTGACATCTTCTGAAGCCTGGAGGTTTTGAATATCAAATTTATTATTTTCCCTTATGCTCTTGACTAGCTTGATATCACTCGTTTTACTTCATGTTTTATTTTACATGCTACTATGAAGTATGGCAAATGGAACCGTTGAACCTTAGTGGGAGGTTACAAGTTGGCTTCCTCTGTCAACCTGCCTACCTTCTACTTTGCTCTGTCTTTCCGAAAATGTTGCGAAGGCTGTGCACACTTTCTTACTTTCTGTACATTTTGGTAAATGCAGTGTGTACGTTGGTCTTCCTTAAGTGAAACGCTTGGCTTTGTCTACCAACCGTTTGCTTGTTGAGTTTTTGCTTGTATACTCCAAAACCAAATCGAGAACCCGTATGAAAGCAATAAATTGCAATATAGCAGTCAGTCACACTTTCTATAGCTTTAGGTGTTGAGTAAATTTCTACTAGTTACTTCAAAATTTGATAAGAAACCTAATTGTCTTGGGATATCATTGCACCAACTTTGAAGACACTTGACAGGTGTTTATCAGTGTACTTCCAATGTCTGTTAGTACTCAAAACTCAGTAGACCATGGTTCTTTCCACTTTTCCTGAATTATCTTACGTGGTGTAATCCACTGTCGTTTTCGGTCTAGAACTTATAGTATGACATCAAGTACTATCCAATGAATAATATTTATTCAGTACATTGCGGTATTTAAGCAATTTAATCACAATTTGAATGGTTCAGTGGTAAAATCTTTAATGGAAGCTCTTGGCGATTTATTTTTGAATCTTAGAAAGTATTCTATTTGCGTAGGAGATTGGATACGCACTGTACTAATCAATAGCAATAAACAAGCAACACATCTCAGACTGAATACTCTTAAGCACGCAACAGTTAACTCTGTCTGATAGGTTTTTAATATGAATATTTACTGAATCCAACTAAAATGGTTGTAACTGCAGCAGTGTATCACACAGAACTTTGAATGTACTTCAAAATATTTAGGTGTAGTGCTGTGTGGATAGATGATCAATTGCATCCTGGTGCAAAAAGCTGGTTACACAATGCAAGGACTTGATAATGCAAGGCTGGTGTTGTGTGACTATTGCAAACCAGCTTTTTTTTAGTTCCCTGAAAGTTTCTGTGCCCATTGTTTCTGATAAAGTGCAAAAAATAACCGTCAATCATGAAAAAGGAAATAAAGTATAATTACCTAGTAAGTACCCTTTGAATTATATGTTGTTTTCATTAAAAATGATCACAATAAGCAGCAGTGATTGGAGTAACAATAGCATGAAGTAGTCAACACAACTGTAGGGAATGAAAATACTAGCCTTAGCTAAGATCGTTGTAAAGTTCTGTTGAATAAAACAAAAATTTAAAAGCACACTGGGTAGATCGAAGCAGAGGCAGTTAGAAGTTCTTTCTGACGGATAGATGCATACTAGAGAGGTTTAATGGCCCCAAAATACCTACCATGAACAAAAGGTAAAGTCAATAGTTTTGTGAGCAAAATACCCTACTTTACGAATCTAAAGATCAGTAAACCAACCGTTGGTTTATTCTGGTAAGATAAATGTCATTTTTTAATTCCTATAAGTAAAACACGTTCAAGACAGAAAGATAAAGAAAATCAACATAGAACCTCGCACACAGGTGCATTGACTCAAGTTGCCACACTTCACAGTAGTATACAAAAACAGGTGGATAGAAAAAGGATGATATCAATGTAGGCGAAGTTGTATGAGAGAATAAACAAACTGAAGATAAAGTCTAGTATGGATATTTAAGCTTTAGGAGGTGTCAAGGACTGAGTACATCTGCGCCACTAAGACCGATTTTTAGCCATGTTGCCAAGACTCCCCAGTCATTGGTCCCTATCAGCTTGCGGACTCCAGCTAGGCAGTTAACGTCTCCCTACACGGCTTAGACTAACAGCAAAAGTCTTCGTCGACTGGTACTACGTCTTAGTCTGGCCACCCTGAACCAACTCATGAATTCTCCAGGCATGGCATATCGAGGTTAGTGGTGGCTTGGCATGCGCACTATATGTCCAAGCCATCTCAACTGGTGAAGGTTCATAACCTCACCAATTGACTTGCCTGTCTTGCCTAGTACCCTTCACCTAACCTCAGCATTGCTCACACGATAATTTCACCAAACGCGAGCAATGCTATGAAGGCACCTGTGATCAAAATCCTGTAACGGTTTCAAGTCTTCTAAATTCAACGGCGATCTCTCAGGCGTAACAGGACAGAATGGACTGCAGAGCAGTTTAGTCGTCGTTTAACAGGTAATCGGATGTCTACCCAGTCGGTGTCACAGATGATGTCAGTTGGGAAATTTCAAACGACCTTCTATATCCAAGCTGAAATTTCGTCTGCAACCACTCCGTCAGGGTTGATGCAACTTCTCAAGTAAGTGAAGTGGTCGACATACTCCACCACTTCACTCTCTATCCTCAGACTCGGGATAGTTGTAGACCAGCCTTGGAGGATCACCCTACAATTGACAGTTATGAGACGTATACCAAAGGTACTCATATTTCTGCTCAAGGCATTCACAAGACCCTGCGTTTTCACCCAGCAGGACAATGTCGTATGCATACTCCAAGTCAATCAGATGACCTCCAGAATACAAATTATTCCCCATAAAGTCAGAAGTATTTAAAGTTATGTCAATTAGTATGTCTATAAGGAAGTTAAATAGGAACGGTGACAGCGGACATCCCTGGCGGACACCACTAGTTGTCGTCAGTTATGATGACAACTCTCCATCAACCCTTACACGGCTACGTGAATTCGAGTGGAGATCTTTGATCAGCGGCATTTACTTGCCCAATACACCCTTCAAAGTTAGACACTGCCAAAACACCTTACGGTCGACGGGGTCGAATGCCCCCCTCAGGTCCAGACATGTTGCAAGTGTTGGCCGCCGGTAAGTATGTCTGTGTCCCAGGACCTATCGGAGGGTAAAAATTTGGTCGATGCATGCTAGTCCATGTCTCGAACCTGCTTGGTCTCCTCAAATTCGATGTTCTCGAGCTTTAGTTAGGCATTGGATGACTGTAGAACCGAGAATCTTGAAAACGTCAGTCAAAGTGATTATCTTGCCACATTCAAGAAAGTGATTATCTTCTTACTTATAAATTGGGATGATTACTGATGTAGACCAGTCTGATATGACTACCTCCGATTACCATTCGAAACCTAGTGCCTCTGTCACTATGAACATTTTTTCCTAAAAATCTTCTGACGGCAGACCAACAGATGCTTCTGCTTTGTCTCACCTTAGGTTCAAAACAGCCTTGTCTGCTTCGATAAACATTTAGGAACCGATATATTCTTTCCATTTATACTCGCGATGGAGGCTGTGTGACAGAAGTTTTGCTGCGGGTCAGTTGAACTGCTCTTTAAAGTGTTCTATTCAATGTCCTTGCGATTGACATTTCCCGGTTACACATACCGTAGGAGGAAAATGTTTCTTAACGTACCTAAAGCAGAAAAAGATTTATGTGGCCGCAGGTCTCATGGGACATCTGCTTGAGGTCTGTCACACACAGCTCTTAGAGGATTTCCGATCTGGTTAATCTAACACCTCTTAGATAACACCCGTACGGCCAGCACCAGGAGACCGTAGGCCAGGGAGAAGTGTGCTATTTTGGGGGCCAACCGTTAATAATCCCCCTCCCCATTCGGAAGGGAGCATCTGGGTGGCACTG